GTTTGTTCGCTTTATCTAATTATGCAATCAAATGAAAAATCTCACCTTATGATGCCCAAATTCATTCAAAATGCTTCCCAGTTTTCTGGTGTTGCTATGTGGTTTTTGGGCTGCAACAGCTGGATGCGGGTCCCGCCAGTCAATGGACAAACGGTGATACCAAAGGCGCTGACTCTCCAGAACATGAGCTGACTTGATGCTGGGATCAAAACGATGCACTTCGCACCCGTCGTTGGCCATGCTAACCTCAAAGCGGGTGTCGTCACTTCCCAGCCTGCCCAGAACGAGGATGGAAATGACAAATGTCATGAGTCCCATACGCTCTGCTGGATTGACAAAATGACAGTTCCGAGGCCAATTTTCTTAGCCGTATCAAGCCTTCCCTTGTTTTCTGATGTACACATTCAATAAATTTTCTTTCACAAAAAGCACTAAAGCTCAAAGCTTCTGGATAAAGAGAATTTATCTGCTAAACAAATCAGAGAATCATATGTTCAAACATGTAGAGGCGCTATCAAATTGATTGTTTTAAAAGATATGCAAATCATAGTAGCAATGAAACAAAGAAGAATATCCAGTAATCTAAAGAGATTTTTCTCCAAATATATCAAAAAATATGAGCCCTAGGATCAGTTCCTTTGAGGAGAGGTGTGTTCTGTTAATGAGGTCATTTGTCTCTATGCTAACGACCACAGTGCTGTGCATGCCCTTGGACTTACAGACAACAGCTGTTTTCTTAGAAATAGAGTATATTTTTAAATAGTGCAGTTAAAGAAAAAAAGGCAAATGTACATGGTTCTGCTGGATCCAGAATTGAAGAAGCAGAAGAAATTCCTTAACAAAATTAACATCGAAAGGGGAAGAAATTATGATTTCATTGTATTTAAGTACCAAATAGGTAGCGCCTCATGTGAAATATTATAAACTTACAAATACTGAATTTACTCAGAAATATTCTTTTTCAGTGGTATAAGGTATCACTTTGATTAAAGGACCAATTTTAATGAAAAGCATGAAATTAACCAAAGATCAATTTTTAAAAATGGTGGTTATGGCTTCTCTGCCCAAAATACTATAATTATATGTGATTTAGGTTACCAGAATATCAGAATATATGTAATACATAGGGCCAGACCTAAACCCAGTGCAGAAATACTTCATTGTCTTACACTCTACTGCAATTGACCCTTGAATAATGCAGGTTTGAACTGCCCAGGGCCACTTATAAGTGCATTTGTTTCAATAAATACAGTAGTTCCCTCCGTATCTGCGATTCCATATCAGTGGATTCAGCCAAATTTGGATTGAAAAACAGATATGGAGGGTTGACTTTTCTACCCGTGGATTTTGGTATCCGTAGGGTGGGAGGGGGTGAGGGTGTCCTGGAACCAATGGCCCCCCGCCCATACTGAGGAAGGACTGACTATTGCATAATTTGGAAGTACACAAATTCAGTGGATAAGAATCATTTCCCTGATTTTATTTAACTAAAATAAGCCTTCAGGACAAAGATCATCCACCTAGACATTCTTAATACAGTTGTTCCTCTGTATCTGCGGGTTCCTAGCCACAAGTTCAACCAACTGGAGATTGAAAATATTCAAAAAAATAAAAATAAAAAATAACAATACAACAATAAAAAATAGTACAAATAAAAATGAATACAGTGTAACAACTATTTACATAGCATTTACATCGTAGGTATTATAAGTAACCTAGAGTGATTTAAAGTATAAGGGAGGACGTTCCTAGATTATATGCAAATACTAGGCCCTTTCATATCAGGGACTTGCGGTGGTCCTGTAACCAGCCTCCTTGGATGCTGATGGATGACTGTAGTCTCGCTTGCCTCTTCTTGAACCTTCACCTTACACACTGCTCTTTTCCTCACTGCATTCCATTGCATGCCAGTCCTCTGACGCCCTTCAGCTACAGCTCTTTCAACCCTTTTTGCCTAAAAAAAGTTCAGCACTCCTCTCACAGACACTTCCATTTCTTCTACCTAAGAGATCCTGTTCCCTATTTTCTACCTCCTACTAATCCACACAGCTCGGATCGTTGTAGTCTCTACCCTAGTTTCCCCCCGATTTTCCATCACCTAATCTGGTGTGGCAGATTGACTGGCTGGCTCTAATTCTTCACCCCTGCTCATCCGCACTACTGCCCGCTCATCATGAGGGCGTGCCCTTCCCTGTGCCTTGATTTTTTGGCTTGGCCGTGTGACTCGATTCATGGAAGGAAGTGACAGTATGCCAGTCCTGATCCTAGGCTTTGAGTGTTTCTGTTCACTTTCTTACATTATTATCATAATAAAAACGGGCTCCGGATAACTTGCTGGTCTCAGGAAAATAAGAGATATGAGGGGCAGGTGCACCCCAGGCAGTCCACCAGCCTTCTATAAAAAACAGAACTGCCCTTCGCCACCTCAGCCTGAAGTAAAGCCTCCCAGCTGAGCCCAGCCTGGACCCATGGAAGCCCAGCTGACCTGCAGACATCCAGGTGACAGTAAATAATGGTGGTTTTAAGCCACTGGGTTTTAGAGTGATTTATTAAACATCAATAGCTAACTGATATACCTAGCACTAAGTATAAATCCAAAAGTTGCTGTTGAAACTACAAAGCATTTTTTAGTAGACAGATTTGTTCCCATATATATCAGCATATTATAGAATTTACCTGTCCCCAGGGATTTTTTTCAGTTAATTAAATTTTTTTGAAACTTAGATGAACAAAGTGGTGTTAGCATAAATCCCCCAGTAGAAAGGAGCAGTTTTGTACCTTCACTAAGAGAACAAAGAACACT